TTCATTTCAGATCTTTACTGAAAATTATAATATTTTAATATGTTAAACTAGACATCTCCAGCTTTACAACGACATATTATATGTCTCAATCAGAGTTGTATAACTCTGGTTATGTTTTACGCAAGGTGACTGCTGCAAACAGAATTTTCAGCAACCAAAACGCGACTTAAAATTTACACTGCGATCAAACCACTTATCCAATGACTACGATATTTTACAAGGTTGTAGCCCTATGTGTTAGCTTCACATAGGTTCAAAAGAAACTTGATTTGGAGCTCTGTAGCTCAAGATATTGAATTTTTACTAAAATAGGTTCGTTGTTGTCCAGACCACAATATCGAGATATTGCCAAGGGAATATTAAGATATCGATATCCGGATATCATATTGGGATATCAATATCCGATCCGGATATTTCTGGAGGAATATCCGGATATCAATTTCGGGATATCATATCCGGATATTGGTTTTCCAAAATCGAGATATTTTGCGACAATATGCCAAAAATGCATTTTTTGAGACTTTTTCCTACAAGATTCAACTTTCACCCACAACTGAAGTCCAAGCTACCATTTTCATATATATTCATGCTTGTTTTCATCAAGGTTACTTATTCCTTTCGTTTAACAAGTTAAAAATCCATTCTTTTCAAAGAAACTCAAAGAGAAAAGTTGAGGTTTATACCCAAAGCTTCAAAAACTGCAAAGAGGGATGCTCTTGGAGCTCTCACAACAGCTCCTCAAGTCTGACCTCCCTCAACCACGAAAATGACAACAAGGTTGGCTCTTTCTTCACAAAGCTCACCACTTGGAGCTCCCACAACTAAGGAAATGGTTCCCTCTCCTCTTAGCCAAGAAATCAGCTCTCTCACCCTCACAAGACAACAACCACAACAAAAAAAGATGCAACTTTCCCACTCACAATGATTGTTCATACACACACAAGGTCTTTTGATGAAGAGAATGGAAGAAAAGGTGGTCACTCGGGCTTCTTTTAGGATGAGGAAGGAGATGGCAAGGTGGCTGCTCAAAGGCTCCAGCAAATGCTACGTAGAGGTGCAAAAATCTAACCTAGGATCATATGCCAATCCTATATATAGCCTCATTAAGTTTTAAACACACTGTATTAGCGCTAATAGCTACGCTTAGCATTTTAATCCCAAACTTAGGATTCTGAACCTACTCATTTTTCTAAGATTTGCCATATTTTTATTACATCTTTCGCAGCACCTTTTCGGTACGCGCTTTTACATAGCCAGTATCAGTTCTGGCACCAGTTCTTATTATTTCAACTTGAAACTTGACATAATAGTCCTATATATTATTCTAAGAATATTCCCACATTTATTATAATTTTTCGGGATACTTCATCGGTACGCATTTATACCGTGAATCAAAACTGGTATCTGTACTTTTCTTCAGAAAAACGACTTTCAACATTATTAATCACTTACCATAATTATTAAAGCCTTCTCATAATTATTCGGGTCAATTATGGAATTATTTTCTAATTCTCATATTTATTTAATTAATTTCCTAAATTAACGGTGCGGGTTGTTACAGTTGTCTTCGTTCTGGGACGTCCTATTTACAGGTAGAAGAGTGAATGGAAAACTTGCAAATCTTTTGGAGTCGGTTTCTTGATTGCATGAAAGGGGCGGTGTTAACGGTGCTTTGAGGGGCGCACGAGGCTGGATGAGACAGTTTTTGTTGAGATTTGTCTTTTCTTCTGACCTCCCCATGCCTTGCTTTCCTTTTCGGCCAATAGGAACCGTTTATTCCCTGCTGCAAACATTTCTCCTTCGTTGAGTGCTGCCCACTTGTGTTAAGTTGAAAACTTCTTTTCACCGTTTCTTGAAAAGTGGTAAGAGAGGTTGAGTAAGTGAAGCAGGTGTATTTAATGTTCCAAATCCGTTCCCCTTTTTATATATTTTTCCAAAAGATTACGTCACCTTCTGTTCCACACTGTATTTTTGTAGTAAAGATATAAAATGTGTATTTTTAGTGCTAAAGATGCTAATCAGGTGAGGGAACGAATGGTTTTTTTTTATCAAAATGGGCTTAGATGTGAACGAATTTCGTCCCATCAGTCCTCTACCCAAAAGATGGCTTCTTGAAGCTTCAAATGCCAAAGGAATGACCCCCTCACCACAAACCAATGAACTCAGCTCTCAACCCTCACCATACAGAAACTGCAACACAGAAAAAAGGTATCTTTCTACTTCTCAAAGCTAGTCCACACTCAACAATGGAGTTTTAGTGAAGAAATCAAGAGGAAATGTGGCCTCTTGGAGGTTTTCTTGGTGAAGGAGGGTGGTGGCAAGGTGAAAACACTTAGCTGAAGCACAAGGGTCATATAGGATGTGCAATATGGCCTAGGGTTTTGTGCTACTAAGCATTTATAGGCGCATTAAGTTTTGATCGTCAGTGTTAGCACTAATTGCTTTGCTAATCATTTTAATCTCAAACTTCATATTCTGAACCTAGCCATTTTTCTAGGATTTATCATATTTTTCTTATGATTTTCGCAGCACTTTGTCAGTACGTGTTTTATACGTAGTTGGTATAAGTTCTGACGTCAGCACTCATTATTTTGACTCCAAGCTTGCTATACTTGACCTAGATATTATTCTAGGAATATTCATATACTTATTATAATTTTTCGGGTTACTTCACCGGTACGCATTTATACCGCGAAGCAGAACCGGTATCCACACTTTTCGTCATAAAAACGACTTTCAGCATTATTAAGCCCTTATGGTAATTATTTCAGTCTTCCCATATTTATTTAAAGTCAATTATGGAATTTATCTCTTAAACTCATAATAAATTATTTAAATTCCTAATTTAACGATGCGGGTTCTTACACGTTTTTTCAAGTCTCTCCAAGCATCTTATGCCCGATCTATCTAGAGAATCGATTGCAGAATATATGGAGAAATTGAATGGTGAGTCCAAGATAACACAGTAGTGTTGCAACGCTGCCATGCAGCAAACGAAGGATCCATGGTTGGAGGTGGTTGTAAGCTTCCATCAATGAAGCCAATTTTATTCTTCGACAGCAACACCATGGACATAGCTCGAAACGAGACGTGATAGTTCTTTCCATCAAGTAACTCGAGACTAGCACTTGTGAGGGGCTTTCACTTGGATGGAGGAAATATAAATGAGAAGGATTCATGACAAAATCAAAAGCCAACCTCTGATTCGCCATTGTTGAAAGCTTGTTGTTGTTGAAACGATAACAGAAGAATAAGAAACGAATGGAGAATCAGAGCTTCTTGAGAAGCTTTGCTACTATTTTATGAGAGGAAAATCTGATATATTCCATGAATGAATATCTGAATACAATCATCAAAACAAATATTACATATATACACTCTTGGATATGAGAGGATAAAAGACTAAGCTATTCAACTAATCTCCGAGAATCTAGGAATTGATTAACACACTCCACATCAGCAAACTAACTTCACATCAACTAAAACTAGATGCCACGTCACACGTTAACTACCCTTTGCATTACTTTCATCAGCAGCACTGGTATCACCCTTTGCATTACTTTCATCATGTGTATACTTCAACACTTCTTATGCTCTTAAAGAGCTTTATAAGCTATTAATTTTCTATTTCTACTCCCTAATTATATTGTTTTGTTAGACTTTCGTTTATTGCAAAAAATTCTCCCTTGCTACATTTGGAGGAGTTTATATTACGTCAGCATAGTTGATTGTAGAAAATTCTCCATTATTGCCATTCGAGGAATTTGTATCGTGTCTCAATCCCGATATAGCTGATTACTCTCTTGGATAGGTTGGTGATCATGGCCTTGCTTATTTGCTGCATGTCATATCTATCTAGGACATGATAAATAAATTTTAAAAAATTATTATTAAAATAAATTTTTTCCCCAATTCTATTGTTCAATCTGCCACAAAACTTTGAATTTTTTATTTTATTTTTCTACCAATTTATCAATTAATTAACTGATTTAGTGGGGACACAGCTTTGGTACCAAATTTTTAACATAAATGTATTGGAAGAACTCCAACATCATATTCACTAAGTGTGTGTTCAATTCTCATATAATGAAAAAAAAAAAAAAAAACTCCAACATCGTCCACTTTTCTCGATTCAAATAAATTGATGATTAGGATAATGAAATCTGTGTAGTCTGCACGTCAAAAGCACAAGACACGTGTCAGTTAAATTTCTGTTAAGAGCTTTTTAATATTTTCCCCAAGGCAAAAACTTGGAAAATTAGCTTCGGAGCTGTCCGTACGTAGCGTCGCCACCACGCATCACGCACACCTATTCCATGCCGCCATGAGTCCATGACCTCAATTTTTAAACGAATACTATTATTTTAAACTTTTTATTCATCCAAGAAAAATTAAATTACTAAAAGTCGTTTCCGAGAAAACAAAAATTAAAAACGTGTGGCATCAAATTAAAGCGAGTACATATAAGGCATGTATGAATATTGAATTCTATTCTTAAAAACAATTTTTTAACTTTTAGAATATAAGAATAAAAAAATTTACTAGATAAAGTATGTTTTATAAAAATAATTCTAAAATTATATTTAGAATTAAATTTATAGAACATATTTATTTATTTTTATTTGTTCTTTAATTTTTAATTTTAAAATAACAAATTCCTTTTTTATAAATTATTCAACAAAATAATTTTAAGGAAAAAAAAAAAACACAAACCCATAGTTTCGTTCTCGAGCGAGTGGGATGTGTTTTAACATTGAAATGTAAATTATCGCCGAGTCATTCTCATTCTCACTCTTCCCCCGCTTTTGAAGCTTACCTGTAATAACAATGCCACGAGAAAATAAAAAGTTTTTCTCAATTCAAGTTATATCGCGGGTCGACGATATTTTCAATTTCACTTTCGAGAATTTGCTTTCTCTCTCCTTGTCTATGACTGTGACTCCATCTTCTTTTTTTCACTAATAATTATTAAAAAAATTAATATTCATTTCTAAACCTAGAATCACATTCTTCGTTCATTTTGCATGTCAATCTGATCAGATTCTGAAGTCAATGGTTTTGATTTGAGAGTTGAAGATAAGCTTCTTTGCAACCCTAGCTTTTTTGTTCTTCAGGTATTCCTATTTCGTTTTCTCTTTTATTATTATGTCCATTGATAATTGATTCCATTTTGCATATATATAATTTTATTATATTATTATCAAAAAAAAAATTTAATTAATGGTTAATATTATACATCCCCATATTCTGATTTATTTTTATTTTTTTCATTTTACTCGCTTCCATTCATGGAACCAAAACCCTAGAATGCGTTGATTTTCTTGCTTTTTCTTGCAGAGTAGGTTGATTTTCTCGAGGAAAAGAAAATCTTGTTTTAATGGGCACGGTGGAGACTCGATCGAAAAACACATCTGGGTGTTCATCGCCTTCGCCAGAAAATGATAAGAATGAGCTCAGGGAAGCTCTGTGCGCTTTGAAGAGTGGGGCTCCAGAAAACGGGGATGGTTTCTCTGGCCATGGAAACAAAGGTTTTGGTGATGGTGGGGTTGTTGAAGTGGTGAAGAGCAGGGTCTTTGAGACCAAGGTTTCGGTTCAGAGGGATTTTGTAGGGAGAGAAGCGGAGGATGGTTGTCAAGGTTTGGCTGATTCTGAGATGAATGGGGTCTCCTCTTTGTTGAAGATGAGAGAAAGTGGTAGGAGCTTGAAGTTGTCTTATGCCGGTGGGAAGGACAAGAAAAGTGGGGATGATGAAGATGATGACCAATATGGGAAAATTGTGACTATAGATGTTCCAATTGCAGATACAAGTGAGAACAAAGATTTGGAAATGGAAGATTTGGGTGAAGAAGTATATGATGGATTTTCTGTTGGTGATTTTGTTTGGGGTAAAATTAAGAGTCATCCCTGGTGGCCTGGCCGAATTTATGACCCTTCTGATGCATCAGATTTTGCTTTGAAGCTGAGACAAAAGAATAGACTCCTTGTGGCTTACTTTGGGGACGGAACCTTTGCTTGGTGCCATCCTTCTCAATTGAAGCCATTTGAGGAGAACTTTGAGGATATGGTGATGCAGAGTAGCTCCAGGGCTTTTGTCAATGCTATACAGGAAGCTGTAACTGAGGTTGGAAGGCTTTTGGATTTGAAGATGAGTTCGTTTGTTGCAAAGAAAGCTGGGTCTGAATTTACTCTGCCTTTGGCGAACAATTCTGGAATCAAGGAAGGAGTTCTTGTACCTGAAAATGGTATAGAGAGACTTTCAGATGTTCTGATTGATCCAGCAGAATTGCTTTTCCGAGTGAAACAAATTGCAGAAATGATAGGTATTACTAGTATTCTCGAGCTGGAAATATTAAAGGCTCGGCTTTCAGCATTTTATAAATCAAGAGGAGGTTATAAATTACCTATTTATGAGGAGCCCCAGCCGATTCCTGGACTTGAAGAAAGTTTAATGGATGAAACAGTGGATGTAGGTAGGAGTGAGGGTGCAGTGGAAGCTCCCGTCCAGGGGCCATTTGAAGAGGACTACTCTACCTTGCCAGTGACCCCAAAATCTGGTGAATCGAGCCATTCTCATGGGATTTCAGGAAATAGACCAAATCATAGAATTAAGCAGAAAAGCATTGCTGAAATTATGGGGGAGGACAAAGATGTTAATACCAAAAATAAGGAGGGAGATGCAACTGAAAAAGCGATGATTAGAAAGAAGAGGAAAGGTAATGAGGATGCAATGGCGTCTAAACCAGTGGAGAAGAAAAAAGGTTTACTTCTAAGTACTGATAGAAGCGTGGAAAGTGCTGAAAATGATGGCAGTGGTGGCAAGGAGAACGGTGACAAGGGATCATTGCTGCAGTTGAAAGAGAAAAAAGAAGCTTTTGGTAATGAAAACGCTAGCAGTGGGAGCAAAAAGGAAACTGATCAAAAAGGAAAGGCCAAAGAACAAAATGAGAAGGGTTCTTTGGCAAGAGAAAGGAAGAAAAGCAAGTACTTGTCCCCTCCCTTCACTATTCCAATCAGAGAGCATAGGAAAAGAGATGTAGAAACAGAATCCCCAAAACTTTCCAGCAAAGCTCTATTAAAACCAGTGACCAGAGCTTCGGACCAGCTTCTCAATTCCCCTGCATCTTCAAAGTATAATGATGAGGCATCTCAAAAAAAAATTCCCGAGGAACTTGCCATGGCACGGGACCTTCCTGGTAGCTCAAATTACCAAACACCAGAAGATGATGAGAACAAGACTATCGATACAGCAAAAATCCAGGTTTCTTCGGGAGAAGTTCTGTCTGCAGTTCGCTATGCAGCTATTAGTCCACAAATTCCTTGGAATATTAAATCTCTTGCAAAAATTGTGGACTTTATTTTTATCTATAGAAGCTCATTATATCACCATGGATCCTACTACAAAGTATACAAGAAGCATCAAGCTGGCAGGAAGAGAAAGAAGCCAGACTCAGATCCTGGGATACTGAGTAAAGATCAAAATCAAGCTGATCATATATCACCTAGTAATTATTCAGAGTCGAAAAAGAGAAGAAGGAAGAATGAGTCAACTTCAGGCATGCCCGAAGAGAAGCAATCTAATGTAGCTAAGACTGGGACGAAGGGGACTGATGAAAATGCTTCAGCTGCTGCCCTTTTTGTCTCATTTGGGTCAGGTTCCTCTCTGCCTTCAAAATCTGATCTTATCCAACTGTATAGTAAGTTTGGAGCTCTGGATGAATCAGAAACAACCATGTTCTTTAGCAACCACACTGCTCGAGTGTTCTTCCTCAAAGCTTCTGATGCTGAAAAGGCCTTAAGCCATTCACAGAACATGAGCCCCTTTGGATCTTCCGAAGTCAGTTTCAGACTCGAGTATCTTTCTGCAGGATCCAAGTTTGGAGAACATGGTGAAAAATCCAAGTCCAAAACTTCTTCAGTGAAGAAGAAAGGCAAAACTCCAGCCAAACCATCTGATTCACTGTCACCAGATAGTGAAGCATCCAAATTGAACTACATAAAGCAGAAACTTCAGGGTCTAACCTCAATGCTGGAAGCATCGGATGGTAAATCACTGGATATGAATGCAAAATTAGAGAGAGAGATGAAAGGGCTTTTGGAGGATGTGAACAAAATGGTTGAATCTTCTTCGTCCTAGATATACATGGAATAGTAGCAATTATGTAGCTACTCATAAGGGTAGGTTTATGATATGCCATTTCCTTAATAGTGGTCTGTCTTTATTTGGGGGTCAATTTGTTTGTCTCATTCCTGTTCCTAGCTTTATTTAAGAGGTAAAATTGCTCATACCGGTTTGTTCTGTAGGATATATAACTTGTTGCATGAATAGTCTGTATAGAGACCGACATCCGTCTAGATTATTCTGTCTCTTATGATAGTGGTGAAAACAGCTTTTAAGGATCAAAACTATAATAAATTTTTTTTTTGTTTCCTTTTATGTCTGAAATACTTTAATTCTGCCATAGAAGCGACGCTTGATGTTGATTGAATAGGAAAAGAGATGGTGGAACCTTTTTTCAGAAATTTCATGGTGTGTTGGCAAATACTTAAGATTTTATGATGATCCTTAATGTTGGAAAGTCTGACCGGCAGTGATCCCAAGATTTGGTGGTGTTGAGCACATAAATTAATACATGTGGCTACAAAAAGATGTATTGTTCACCTACCAAATCTCAGTGGCCGCATAAATTATTTCTGTTTGGCTGTTATGGATATAGTATAAAGAGATCTATTGGCTATGCAATGTAGTTCAGTACTTGGCAAGGTTATAATTATTTTTTGCATGTGAAGTGTTGATTGTTAATAAATGACAAATGATATACTTATATCATCCAACCACAGTTTTTCATTTTAATTGTTGATTGGTATAAAATGACAAATGATTAATATAAGCAGCTTATAATTTTTTTCTCGTTTTTTCTTTTTATCTGTGTTTTTCAACCCATGTTAAAGTCAGTTAGCCGCCATAATCTCTGTAGTGAAGGAGCAGAGTGCAGATATAAGTGGTCAAAGTAAGAAAGATATTACAGGAAATAGCAATGGAAAGTGCATACCCTTCTGAATCTCTTGCTGACGAAATCATTTTTCTAAAAAGTGGTTTCTTCAATTTCTGTGCTGATGCTGCATATTTTGAGACAAGCTGCTTTGAAGTGTGTTTTTTTTTTAATAATAAATAAAGTATATTTATTTTTTATTGAATTTAAAATATATAATAATTTTAATTCATTCCTGTGGCCATCCTCTATTATCCACTTATCTGTCTTATGATCTGCCAAGCAAGTTGGCATTTTATCAATGCCCCTTTCACCATCTAGTTATTTCAATAGCACCAATATGTCAACGTCAGATCATAAATCATCTAATAGGGAGATCCAGCTTTCCTTGGAAAATACGTTTCACCTTCCTCCTTTTTTCACCAAATTAGTTGAACCTCTTTGTTATCAAATTTTAATGTAAGCAAATTGCTGATTTTAGAACTAAAACATCCCGGTTTGCTCACAGAAAAAAGGAAAACACTGATATTTTCACATAACATAGAGGACTGTATCCAATTAATTTGTCAAGTGAAACCATTTTTTTTGTTAATTCAGAATGATACGTTCTTCAATGTTTCTGTACTTTTAGGAAAGAGAGAGAGAACACACACGAGGAATAATGAAAAAGACTTATTGACCAAACATCCTTGATACAGATTATAAGAATCTGAACGCTTTAACTAGAGGTCTTGAGTTTGAGTTCTGACAACGAAAAAAAGAATTTGAAAAAGCTTCTCTGTTTAATAGGGTCCAATAAGTGCTCGAACTCGATATAGTACTAAGAATGAACTGTTCAATTTCTATCCTAACTTACAATTCTATCACTAGCTACCTCACTAACTATTAACAACTATTTGTGATAACTGCACCATAATAGTTTAATTGAATACATAGATGCCCTTAATTTCTTTCATCTCTTTGAGCGTAATATCACTTACCCCTATTAGAAAGGACCTTGTCCTCAAGGTTTAGCGAGGAAAAAAATGAAAGATTCTGTTTAGTCCCAAGGAAAACAATCCAAGTATTCGTTCTGACCTGACAACATAGACAACATGAAGTGGAAAATGGACATCATGTAGTATTGTAGTGGAATAGAGGACACTCTTTGCCTTGACTTGACATCATCAAAATGCGGGCACGCTTTGGAATGTATCAAGCAAGCCTTGCATCTCTCCTAATGACCCAACTCAAAATAAAGAATCCCCATGCGAATGCAGATCAACCGTTTTGGTCCTTCCAGGGCATGGGTTGGATATGACTCAATGTGATCAAGAGACAACTCAAAGAGAAACAACATCAACAGTGAACGCGGATCAATTGTTTCAGTCCTTCCATGGTTGTTTAGGTTTGGGATATAATAACCATAATGATTAAATAGCATTAACTGGAGAATGTAATGAAGAATGAGTTTAAATTGAATATACAATCTCACAGTTTTAATAATACAAATTGAAGCACTATCAATATATGATTTATGATAAGATGAGCTCAACATATCAAATATATGTTATGCAAGTGTATGATCAACAAAATCTATGAAGAAAGCCTGAAATAATGATTCAATAGGGTTTAATATAGGTTAGAAGTGTTGGAGATGAGTATTTATTAGTTTCCAACAAAACATAAATGTTTATAGTCGTTAGAACACTTTTTGAAAAGTGCATATCTAGATATATATCAAGGCATATCTTGATGTAACACCTTCACATATCCAGATATATGACAAGGTTGTATCTCGATATGCATATTTGGATATATGACAAGGTTCCTTATACGCTTATCTTAATATCTTCTTTCACATATATGGATATATCATGAACATGTTAATTTCACTTCAAAAAAGTATTCATTTCAATTTAAAAACTTTTTAATATTTTAGGCATATGTAATTGACTCTTCGACATCATAACTTGAAGACACATTAAACCATTTTCTATCTATTTTCAAAAGATTTATCCAAGGATTTCATGCACTTTGAAAATATGCCACTTTGAAAAATTCAATTTTGAAAACATTTTGAGCTCATACAATGCAATTCAACATGTACCCTTCCATTTGAATCTAAGTCCCAAAAACATAATCTAATGTGGAATAACGACTTCATGCACTTTGAAAATATGCCACTTTAAAAAATGCAACTTTGAAAGCACTTTGTGCTCATGCAACACAGTTCAACATGTACCCTACATTTAGATCTAAGTTCCCAAAAATATAATCTAATGTGAAAAAAGGACTTAGCTTATTGAGTTGTTTATTGGATCTTTGAAACTCTTTTTGAACTTGATGCTTGACTTGTTGAGTTCGCAATACTTTGATACTGGTTGGATTTGCTTATTAGATTATCTTCTCAATACTTTTGATTCTTTGGTTTATTATATTATTGAGTTCATGTTGTCACTTTTTTTTTTGGTAACCATGTTGTCATTTTATTGTCTTATTATTGTTATCCAATTGTTATCTCATTTGATTTTGGTTCATCGTTCTTACTTTGTTGCCATCAAGACTCATCTTGTATGACTTCATCATGCATCTATAACCTACACATATGAATAATGTTTTTTCTTTTGATTGAAGCTCTTTTTTTTTAGAGTAAACACCCTTTTTGGTCCCTGACAATATCCACGAAATCCATTTTAGTCCCTGGCAATAAAAAAGGACCAAATTGGTCCCTAAATTACAAAAAAAAGGGTCACGTTAGTCCTTCTGTCAACTCCTCCGTCACGGTCAAACTAACGGTGCCAATGTGGCACGTTAGTGTGATGACGGGACTTGGACGGTTGACACCTTGGATGGGCAAACGACGACGTTTTGTGCAAATGGGTTCCCAGCTTTGGAAAGTAGAGCACGACGTCGTTTCTTGGTTGATGATGAACCCTAAAAAATAAAATCCCCAAAATGCTGAATCGAACCTTCAACAGACAAAAACCCTCGAATTGATGAAGCTAACCCTAAACATGAAATAAGCCCCCAAAATCTGTGGACGTTGATGATTGTTTGTTTCAATATGACTGTCATGACATTTGTTTGAGTCAATTTTTTTTTGGGGGGAGGGGGTTCATGAACTACGATTGCACCCCTTATAGTATATATGTACACTTTCTAAAGCCCAGACCCCAACATCTTACTCAATGCATTATGATTAAAACCAATTTTCAGGACCCCTTACATCATTTGTGGGTTTGAAATTATAAGCATTAATTGACTTGTCATTTTTCATTGAATGAGGTGATGATTGATCATTATGTTTATCAAGAGTGGGCATTTGTCTTCTGAATCTCTATTACTAGCAAATCTTAAAAGTTTAGATTGATTGTGTTTTACCGTTCTTCTAGATATTTAAAATGATTATGAGATAGCATTGAGGGTATGAACTTTTGTACCAACGTTTATCAATGGAGACAAAAGAAGGTGCAATACATGTTTCATTCTGGTAGGAGGTTGCGTTCTATATATACTTTAATAATGTCTAAGAGATTAGAATTGTGTTACGATCCAATTATAAAGTATGTGACTTGAAGTGATGTGAGATTTTTATGGACTCTGAATTTTCTACCTTAATATAGCTAGTGTTTGGAATAAAGGCCACTCATATCAATTGATACCAGAGCTTCCACTATATCTTTCATGCACAAGTTAAATTCTCATTCAACTGGAAAATTCAAAGCACGTATTCTGCCAAATGTTATATTTGATTTGGTTTATTCTCAAAAACAATTAATGAAGGAAACTAGAGAAATCCAATAATTGAAAGTGGTGGATATGTAATTTATTTGAACTAGAACTTTTCAGGAGTGACGTAGAAATAGGACAGAGTGGGGGCCTTTGATTGAGAACGCAGTAGGCATTGACCGATTAGAATGAATGGGGTTGGTTCAAGTGATATATATTTGATTTTGTTTAAGTAAGGTTTTGGCTTCAAATTTTTATAAATGCTAATGACATCCATTATGGTCCTGGAGTAATTATTGTCATGACATTTGTTTGTTTCAATATGACTGTCATGACATTTCTTTTCATTCGTTGCACTTGGCTATATTCTGGACATGCATGTGATGCACAAAAATATTTAACTGACATATGTATTTTTAACTGAGTACTACATTTATTCTTGTTGAACAAACTGGACAGCAAGCAATATCTGATGTAATGCAGGTCTGTTTTGTTGATTTCGACTGCACATCAACAACATACAAGTATGTGCCTATTATTCTCTGCCTATACAGGGTTGATGAATGTTCCAGCAATGCAGTGTTCCGGCTCTTATGTTCCAGCCATTCTGTTTTATGTTTTTTAAACCCTGAGTTATGAAAGTGTAGTTCTTGGACCTCCAAGTCATGTGTTATGCACTTTTGTTTTGTAAT